ATCTGTAAAATACCGATTAAATGTAAAGCAAGGACAATCCAAGTTCAACTTTAAATTATTGAACTAAAATATATTTTTTATTTTTTAAGTAACAGGTATCCATCAGTTGCCATCTTTTGAGCCTCTTTCAATTAAAAGAAGCTGACGCATTCGATCTAAATTGAATTATTTACTCGGTTTTTATGAATGAATCGCTCGTAAATGATTCACCCAAGCAAACGGCACAAGTGTCACAAAAAATAGTGCTACGAATATGTACATATATTTAGTTCATTCAATAAATGATTATTTATGGCGAGATGCGGCGGCTTGTGCCAGTGAATTCCGGTTAAAAGTAACTCACTCTCTTGGCAAACCGAGCTCATTAATTTTTCGGGACAAGAGTCGCCCTCCATTTCGTATTTTTCCACCGAAAAGGTGGAGTTCAAATGGCAACCGAGCAGAAGATTTCTCAATTGTAGCTGCGGCACCCGGAGGGTATGACAATTTAATTAATTAACGGCACAGAACTCACTTTTCAACATGTGGCTACGGATGGCACTGAGGTTCTTCGAAGGAAGGAAGGAAGCTAGGGCAACCTAGAAGACACACATTGACTTGGCCCCATTGGCCCTGCTTATTATTCAGTAACCGAAAAAGCCGCAAACTGTATGGATGTGAGGCAGGGCAGCCACTTTGATGGGACTCCTCCTCAAGTGGCTCCCATTCCCTGGCACTCGATGGTGATGGTGGTGATGGTGGTGGTGGTTTTCCATCAATCATGTGAAGCAGTATCTTTGCCCGCAGGCGCCTAACCCTTCGATGAACTCATTGAACTCGAATATCACATTCAATGAGGGCGCAGGCCCAAGCCCAGACCCTACCCTCGACCCTTTGCTAATTGCATTATTTGTTATATTAAAGTCAAATTAACAGGGCAACATCAGCAGAGAGGGAGAGAGAAAAGTGGGCCTCTAAGCCCCCTGGAAAATTCAACTGGTAAATGTTTAATGGTCTCCGCTTCGCTTTGATGTTTGCTGGCTATCGCATTTCCCATTTCCCCATTTACCATTTCCCGTTTCGCCATTTAAAGCAATTTGCATTTATGTTTTTCGGAAAATGTTGTGCCATGATGCAGGGATCAAATGGAGTTATTACATGAAGTGGCCGGCTCTCAGCACCGGAATCCACTGACCATGGTCGCAAAATTCTATTTCATAAGCGTTGCATGCCTCAAATTTTACAGCAAATAAACATTCCGCCTCGCCGCATCCAAATCTATATGTATCTGTATCTGTATCTGTGTCTGTATCTGCATATCCAGAGTGCTGTCAGTGAGTGTGTATGCAAAGTGCTGTTGTGCCACAACAATTTCATTGTTTTTTGTTTGGCTTGACATAAATTACAGCGACAGCACGCAAAAGTTCAGCACGCATATTTTCCAGCTTTCAGCTATTCAGCTATTTGGTATGCCACAGGATCCAGTATCCTGCATCCAGTATCCAGTAGCCAGGACTTTTGCATTGACATACCCACCAGAGAGCACAACATTCGCTATGGGTATACATTTTTGTCACAGCATTTTTTGGTCAATTCTTAAACCGAAACATATTTTCCTGCTTCCATTCCCTGCCATAGTTATGCTAATGCAAAAGGGGTTGGTGACACGAAGGAGAAGCTATCACCTCTGGCCCTCTAGGAAATGTGTCAAAGATTCGCCCGACACACAAAATTGAATGTGCCACACACGTTGTGGAGCCAAACAGGAAAAGCGAAAGGATAACTTGGCCAGAACAAGTGCAAAACAAACAACTTTGCCTCATTAAAGCGGACCCAACACTAGCCAGGATCCTGCACTGAGGGAATTCATGGAAATTCGTAAGTTTGACTTACTTTTCCTAATAGAAATATAATTAAAATTAATTAATTTGAAAAGGTAAATAGTGTATTTTCCCTGTGCATTAAACTAAAAAGTACATAATTCAAATTCGTTTAAAAGGTGTTTAAAAGGTAGCAAATTTAATATAAAATTGTCATGTTTTTATTATTATAAAGCAGTCTAGATTCAGTTGCCACAATATAAGGTAAAAGACTGCTTATTAATAATCTTAAAAACTTATATCGATTACTTTTAGACACATTTCTAAGAACTTTAAAAACCCTCAGTAATTTCTGTATTTTCTCCTATTTAAACCTCTCCTTTTATTTCCTCGTGTATCCTTTCTGAAATGGAGACTATCGAACGTGTAAACATCAATTTGCGATTAAATATTATCGCAAGTGGAGGGCCCAGAGTGTAGTCCAGAGAAAGGAGAAAGTACAAGTGCTGGCCAGAAACAAAGCATACTTATTTGGGTCACTCACGCATACACAAAGAGGGGGTGTTCTTGTGTGTTTTCCCTGTTGTTGTCTCTGCACAGATTGGCGAACGAGAACTAGACGGCAATTTGGTAAACAAGTCGTCCATGACTATATTTAGGTGTCCGTCGTGTTGCCATCATAAAAATCCATGCCCCTCGCCCTAATAAAGTGGACATTGCATAAATTGAGACCAAAGTCTCGAAAGCCAAAGCCAAAGATATAGGCCAAGTCGCGTATTTGCTGCACAATACATATCTTTACGACTGACTGACTGGGACACCTCCCTTCCGCCCGCTCCTCTGAGGGTACCAAGCAGACGTGCAATCCCTGCTTGTCGGCCTGCAGGACGTGTTGTTGGTATGCTGTGTAAGTCGCTTTTTATGACCTTTGGCCGCACGAAAATGTGCGTAAGGCATGCGGAAGCGGCACTGGGGTCAGGCCGTGGAGTGTCATCGGGTGTAAATCATATTTACAGTGGTACTGTAATTGAATTAGGCCTCGTTCCACCGCCCCCACCCATCCGAGGCAGCACCAGATGCCCGCCCTGGCATCAGTGACGGAAAATAAAAGGGAATTTAATTTCACTTCAATGAGGGAAAGAGCACTTACTTGACCTTCTCCGGCCACCAGAATCAGAAGACATTATGCTGCCTAAGTTAAATATTATGGTATATATTGTATGACTCTTCACGTAAAAAACGGTCAATGAATAAATACAATTTTGTATAAATATATAAATACAATTATTTATTAATAAATGTATGCATGAAGCTAATTAAATAAGTAAGTACCTACTCTAAAAATTGCAGTAAAATTGATTAAAAACATGGGAATTATTAAACAATAAATGTTCAAGAATTTATTTCTATCTCTTACCTTAGCTGGTAAGTCAGGTCTCAAACCGTTTTTAGTAAATATTTTAGACCTAGTTCGTAACATTTATTTTAATAATTGATAATTTTCTTGATAAATTTGTTATTATTTAGTGAATAAATACTAAATAAAATTATTGTTTAAACCTTTAGGAAATGCGTGAGAAACTTGAATAAATAATTCTAAGCCAAATTCGGTAGCCCTTGTTTATAAATAAAATGGTTAACAACTTAGATAACAAGCTGGTTTCCACACCCTGGTTTGTGTCCACACTGTTTTTATTTTTCGGCAGTAAAAAAACATTAATAAAGCAGTGCTGCGAAATTAAAAACATAATTTTACACAAAGTGTAGCATGTAAATAAATATGTATACAAAAATGTCGTTTAATTTTTAAATACAATTTAATTTATTCACTTCACAAAACAATTTCGAATACAGTTCTATTAACAAACTTAAGTTTTAAGAGAGTATACAAATACACAATAAAAATTATAATATAAAAACAATAAAAAAGGTCAGAAAACAAATTAAAATTATTTTTATATATTTATTTCTTTATTTGAGTGAGATTTACATTAAAGTATAAAAGTGAAAAGTAATAATATATTAACAACAAATATATATTATCAATATATTATTATTTTTCACTTATAAACTTTCACACGCTTAGTTTCATATTAAATTTTTATGTAGTATTGACTAAGAACCAAATTAACTTTCCCTATCTTTAAGTAATAAACATATTAAATCTTATACAAATAATTCTACAATATTCACTGTACTTGCCACCATAAATATCCTTCTTGGAATATATTTAAAGAGATGTTGTTTTGTCTCGTAAACTGTCATGTTTTGTAATTCGATTTTAATCTATTTGCAATTTAAGGCCCCCTTTTGAAAGCAAAACTATCATGAGTGTCAATCTTTATGGTCAGTGATCAGCTTAAACCAAAGCGATCCATACGACAGCAGTACTTCCTAGCGAATTGTAGCATATTCTGGTTGCAGATCACGTAGCCGACACGTTGCCTTTTGGGAAAAGGTGGCACTTCCCGTTCAAGATCTCTGAGATCTCGACGAGAAATATCTAAAATTGGCGCCGCAATCGAAGCCATATAGATTCAGATTTCACGGTGATCTTGTACGATATTTTTTCATGCATTAATTGCTTTTAAATTTTTTGGCGGCGAGCAAAACAAGAAAACAATTTCAAATGTAGCTCACGATCACATGTCTTTTTAGGCCCCAAAATGGAAACGAGTGCAACAGACTTTGCCACTTTGTGCACCGACTTTAGTGTCGGCGTGAATTAAATTGAGTAATTAGGTGGATTTGGAGCCGGGACCTGTGCTGGCAACCCACAAAACTGGTCTATCCCAAGATCTGTGCGATCTACGGGCAACCGCTCTTTTTGTCTTTGGCAATTATTTAGCCTGTTTCAGCTCTGTTTTATTGCATTTCGATTAGTTTCAAATGGGTTTTGGACATTTTTGTCGCAGCTAATTAAAATACATGCCGTGGAATTTTCGCCTTAGACTCGTTTCGCATTTTGGCCCGGCCTAAACGTGCATTAATTCAGTTAACAAGTTAATTTCCAGCCCCCGTCGGCATTGGCAACCCTTAAAGAAACACAAGCACAAACCTCGCCATGACAACGGACGAGTTTTCCATAACAAAAAACAAAGTTTTGCCGGAGTCGCAGAGTATCTGTGTGAGAGTTGTCTTTGAAGTTGAGCTTTTTGGCCAGGACGAGCGAAAAATATATAGAAAGGAGCAGAGTAATCCATGTACGAGCCGGGAACGGAGCAGATCAACTGCAACGGCAGGCTCATCGAATTGCCCAGCCTGGAGGTTGTGCGGCCAGGCAAGAAACCAAGTCCTAGAAAGTCCTTGAAAACTTGTATTCTTTTACATCTTTGTTCGCATTTTATTTTCATTCGATTTGAGGACAAAACAGCTCCCAAAATGCCCAGCGATGCCAACATTGATTGGCTGCTCCACATTTATTTTACTCGGCGCGAGTTCACGCGCTGTCGCCGCCTCATCGAACGTGAGCTGAATCGACACCTGAATCCCGAGTACCTGTACTTTGTCCAGGTGAGCCTGAGCCCTCCAGGTTTTGCGGCTAATGCCGAGTATCTTTTCTAATTGATTGCCCATCGCCCAGGGCCTAATTGACCGCGAAGAGGGCAATAACATCGAGGCTTTGCGACACTTGCAAAAATCCGTGGAGCTCAATCCGCGGAACATTGAGACGTATAAGGAAATCGGTCGAACACTGTGAGTAAATTTGAGTGCCTTATTTATATCCTTGCAGGAAGATAGCTTTTAACGCTCTGAATGAGTCATTTAAATAATATATCGATTTGTTTATCTCTTAAAATACCTAATTGTACCCTTTAAATCGGTGTGAAATTACTTTCTCAAGTTCAATGTGTTGTTAATTAAATATTAACTGTCTGTGATATATTAAATCGGTAAAAATCGCTTAAAAAAATACAAACATATCTCTTAAAGTTCATTTAAATCATTAAAGTTGTGAAATAATTATTTATAGTACATGCTTTTGGCATTCGTTTTTGGGAAACTTATCGTTCTGCAAACATACAGTTTTTTTTTTTTTTTTTTTTTAAATTTTGCACAATTTTGTAGGTCCTTTCAAGTTTTAAAAGTTCTCGGAATATTAGTTTCTAAACTTTGTGCAATTTCGAGAATTTCTTGATATGGTAACTATATAATTTCCAAAAACACTTGAAATTGCACTTTTGGATGCCACAGAAATGCAAATTGGGTGTTTCGGGGAAACTGTATGAATTTGATGTATGAAAATCATTAGTAACCTTTAATAACAGCCCTTAAGTGTAATTGTAATTCGCAATTCTGTTTTCCAGCTACATAATGGGACGTTTTAGCCAGGCCCTGGGGGTTTTCCGGGAAGCAGAGCAGCGCAGCAACCGGCCGGACCATGAAATATATCATTATCTGGGCGAGCTCCTTTATCGGGCGGCCACCACGCAAAGCCAAATGGAGGTGGCACGGCAGCAACAGGACGAGTCCCGAGCCTATTTCGAGTTGGCAACTCAATCGGGACGGAAACTGGAGAGCTTTGTGCGTTTGGCAGAGTTGTACCGCAAGGAAAAGCAATACCAAAAGGCCATCGAGCTGCTAGAGACATGCCTGCAGTCAGTTTCACTAATGACATTGAGTTTCGTATTGAATTTCATGTTGTTTAATTCCACAGCCTGACGCCTGAAAACTCTGAGGTGCTGATTGAAATCAGTGTTTTGTACCTGAAAATCAACGAGACCCAGAAGGCGCACGATCGTCTGGCGGAAGTCGTCAGCATTGAGCGGAAATGCTCGCCTAAGGGCCTTCTAGCCTTCGGCGCCATTTTGCAGGTGAGTTTGGGCTAAACTTTGATAACGATTTGAATTTTTTAAATATTTTTGTGCTGTTATTGTGTACATATGTATATATATTTTTTTTGTATTTCTTTTTCCAGTCCCGGAACGATGTGGATGGCGCCCTTAGCAAATACAGCCAAATCGCAAACGCTGAGCCGGAAATTGCGGAGCTGTGGAACAACATTGGATTGTGCTTTTTCAAAAAGCAAAAGTTTATTGTGGTACTTAAATTGCCACCGTATATATATATGTATCATTTGGCATTTGGTATTTAAATATTTAATCATTTTTTCCAGGCAATTTCATCGCTGCGCAAATCCGTTTGGCTCTCGCCGCTTAATTACAACGCTCTGTACAACTTGAGCTTAATTTACATTGCCTGTGAGTGGTTACCAAGAATATCAAAACATGCCTTTTAAAGTCAACACACAAGAAAAAGTGTGTATATTTTTCTTTAAAAGCTTTCTACTTTGTTATTTGTAGGAAGATTATTTTGTGGTATTCCATAGAAACAAAAATGAACTCAGGGATTAAATATTCAAAGCATGAATATATTATCACGAAAACTCAACAGGTTTTAGAATTTTCACAAGTATTTTCATATTGAAAAGCTATGGAAAATGAACTGCATGTTTCATGCCAGAGAGTCTTTTCATTGTGTGTTGTTTTGCGGCACAAATGTTTGGCATTTGGCCAAAAACCATATGCCAGATGCAACTGCTGCAGTTATTGGTCAATACAAAGCCCACAAATTCACAAAACTTGTCATTTCTTAGACAGAATGCCTAGCCATTCATTAGTTTGGGGCAGAAAATGGGAAAAAGAAAACCAGCTTGAAAAGGGTAAACTGTAAGAGAGAAAATGCACACATATATCTCAAGGAAAAACTATGGACTGGAGGTTTTAATAAATTTCTTAAAAGTGCCAAGAAAAGCCAAGGGCCTTAGGCGGTTCGGTCCTAGGCCTTACTCAGCATTGTTAGTAGCTATTTTCCAGCTTGCTATATTGTTGTTATTATTATTATTATTATTGTTTTGTTTACCGACCTCAGCTGAACAATACGCCAGTGCCTTTCATACGCTGGCCGCAGCCATCAACCTGCGCAAGGATAATGCCGAGTGCTACATGCTCCTGGGGCGTAAGTTTACTATCCTATTTACACTGAAAACAAATCCTAAATCGAAGAAATTTAATATTCCGAGATAGTTTTTGTTGTTAACTTACAATATTTTACATTAATTTAACTTTTTCGAACTAATAAATGCATTTTTCAAGTGCTTGTATGTTTTTCTCAACTTTAGCTTACCAAACACTTTTTATGCAGTAATATAGTTTATAGTTTATAGTTAAGAAAATATATGAATACATAATATATACTATTTCATCATCAAAAACGTATAAATTTAATAAGTTCGAATAATAAAGTCATATTAAATATGCTTAGTTATCAACTCAGAGTTACTGAATTTAGTAAATAATATAAATTAATATATTACACATACTTGTTATATATAAAAAACAGTAAAATTTAATAAGTTAAAACCTTGAATTCTTCTTTTCAATATTTCTGAAGAAAAAGTATAATTGAAATATATTCCTACCTTACATTATACTTCAATAAGAACATTTGTTATTCTGTTAATATATTTTTTTCCAATACCTTTCTCCTCTGTTCTCTTAAGAATAATAATAATAACCATTTTCCCTTCCGTATTCACAGTGTGTTTACGTAAGCTGGACGACGTGGATAACGCATTTGTGGCCTTGGAACGGGCCAGTGTCATGGCGACCGGTCAGCAGGGCTCAGGACGCAATCCTTTGGTGGTGCTGAACTTTGCCCTGTTTTGCTATGAAACAGGACGATTGGCCCTGGCCGCCGAGCAGTACAACAGGTTCATGAGCCAGGCACAGGATCTGCTGCTGCCCACGGAAGTAAGTCGCCCGAAATACCAGCACTCCCAGTGGCTGTATGCCGCGGCACGTGATTGAAACTGTGTAATCCTGTGAATCCTTTAATGGATACTATTCAAGCCAATATTCCCATTGCGAAAAAAGGCAGAACTAGAAGAAGCCTTCCGACTAATGCTTTCCATTTCCTGAACAGTACAAATTCCAAGCAACCAAGTTGAAATCCCTTCTGCGAATCTCCAATCAGGGCAACGGCATCCTGTTGGATAGTTCAGATCCGGAGGAGTCAGAGTCACAGCAAAATGGATTTCAGGAATTGCAACCAGATGACATGCCCTTGGAGGTGAATGCCGTTGTTAGCCAGAACTGAAGATTGCAACCATTAAAGCAGTTGCCCCAAAAGAATGTCAAAACACTAAATAAATATTTATTAAACGCGCCAAATCACATCAAACATTTATTTGAACCTACATAGTTGTAAATCGTAATATAAGCTGTTTAAATAGTATTTCTGTAATTAGACTCTCAAAAAAAGCCAATGTGTAATGCATTGGCGCTTAACTGGAATCCAGTGATCGAAGTTACCATTTTTTCAAGCCAAGAAGTCAGACCAACTCGGGGCTCATAGAGTTCTCTGTCCTCTTGGCTAAAGATATCCTTGGATTCCGGTTATTATTAGACTTTAATTATTTTTTGTTGCTGTTTTCGTGGAAAGTAAGTGTGTCGTGTTGGTACCACTTCTGTGTACCTTTGTCGCTTAGCCTAGCAAAAACTTACGGACTAGGACACGAATTCGAAACACCAATTGGATAATGCATAATTCTTAGAAAGTAATTTCATTGGAAAGGAAATGGCACTTGCTAAAACAGCCAAATCACAAACGGAATCGATTCATTAAGCAATGGGAAACCAATTGATCGGTCAACCGATATTTGCTTTAACCAAACTTATGTATTCCGACTCACAGTTTCTCTTCTTGTTTTTAATTTTTTTTTTTTTTTTCGTTATGCAACGCAACGAAACTTTTATAAAGTTTAAGATTTAGAAATTCTCAGTTGGAGCAAGCCCTGAACATCTTGGATGCCCTTCACCTAATCCCCATAAAAATGTCTCTACAAAATGATCCTGCAGAGCCCTCTAAAAATCACATCTCGGCGGCATCGATAGCGATACCGATTCCATAATATAAATCCAAGTCCTGTTTAGACGCACGTGGTGGTCACACGGGTCAGTCGGGTCATTTCGGTGCTGCCAAAGTGCCGCTTCATGAACAGCGACCGGAAGGTGGTCCGGAACTGTTTCGACATCAGTCCATAGAGCACGAATCCCACGGCGGCATTGATCAGTGCCAGTAGATCCATCAGCTCCCCAAAGGGCGGATAGCAGTGGGCGAAGAAGCACTTCTCCATTACGCCGGACAGCAGGCCGAGCAATCCCTGCGGGAATTCGGTGACCAGGAAGAGGACCAACACGGCCACCAGGAGGAGAGTGGTGCGATCATTCCGACGATCGCAACGCGGCGGCCTAGAGGGATGAAAATATATATCAAAATTATGCACTTTATCAAAATAAAATAAAATGAAAAGTATAAATATTATAGATTTAGTAATATAAAACCATGTGTTAAAGAATTGTTGGTTCTCTTAGGATGCTTACGATAGTTCAATACAATTTCGTTTTTTTATATTTTCCTAATTGATCATAAATAGATCATTGAAATAATCATTAAAAATCATTTAAATATCCGATTACTTACGATGACTTAATTTTCGATATATTTTGGTTTCGATATTCTCGATATAATTATAATATATTGTTAGATTTATGTGTTTTAAATAATGCAGGTTTGATTAAATTACTAAATCTAAATCCTTTTTTTTTTGCAATACTTTAAATTTCGATATTTGTTTGCTTCGATATTGTCAATATAATTCTGATTAATTCCGATTTTTCTGGTTATTTTAATTTAACAAAATTTATATATAGTTTGCTTGACTCACTTCTTGGACTTGGACTCATTTAGATTGAGCTGGATGGCATACTTGGCGGGATTATTGTAGTCCCTTAGCTTTAGACGACGTCTCGAGGCCTCGCACAAGACATGCATTAGGATGGCACTGATCACAATCAAAATTCCACAGGGTAAAAGTTTAATAATCACGGAATGTATCCAGAAATTAAACCTACAAGAAATCAAATAATAATTTCTGTCTCATAAACTACTTATTCATCGGTAAGTGCACCTGTATAGAACCGAATCCTGATCAAAATACACATGATACATGGCCTCCGGATTGACGCTGTCCACGTCGTAGGTCTCCCTCACTTTAAACACAAAATATGTGGGCAGGCAGAGAATTGGTGACAGGATGAAGGGCAGGAGGATCGCCTCCCGGGAATGAGCGAGCAGGAAATTGGCACAGCCCCCGTTGGGATGTCTGTGGAATAGAGATGGTAACATTTGGCTATAAACAAAAGACGGGAAGGAAGAGAAGAGAAGCCACATATTGCCACATTGAAGTGTTAATCAGATTAGCCGGATGTCGGTTCGAATATCGGATGCGGATTAGTGTGATTGATGTGAATCGGTTTGCCGAAATTCAAAATGTATGAGAAGGATATGTCCCAGGACAAAGAGAGCATGCAATGCTGGCCTATAGATTCGCTCACCTAATGGCCACATATCGCCACACGGCCAAAGTTACTGTCAGTCCAATGGAGATCGTGTGCAGGATTTGGGTGAAGTGCATGTGGATCAGTAGACAAACAGCCCAAGTGTAGCTTAGATCCTTTTCACCTGTACGACAAAGAATCGCATTGACTTTAATACTAACACTAATCCATCAATTATTATATTTAAAGTATATATTATTTATATTCAAAAATAATGAATAAATGCAATATGCTCTTACCTGGACCCATATAAATATACTGATACGATGTGTAGGGTATATATTCCAGCATCACAAACATATCGGCCACCGCCAGCCACTTGAGGATATTATTTATGGGCGTCTTGGCCATTTCCTTTCTGGTCAGGACCATTATGTTCAAGATGTTTGCTATTGTCCCGAATATGCAAATCTATGTAATTCAAGTAAACAACAAGAAGCAATATTCACTGGCTGTTGATAAAATATGTGAGTGTTATTTATAAAGAAAAAGAAGAATGTTACATCGTTCTCACACTCTTTCAATTGATTACACATTCCCCCCTCTTGGAATTTAGAGTGGTTGAATGTTTTATTCATTCAGCTCGTGATGTGCGTTCAGTTCTTGTGATTTAAATTCCCCTTCTCATTTCACATTTTTCTCACAGCAAACTTTAGTTTGACATTTGGAAGAAACTTTAAGTCAAACTAATCAGACTTTCGTTGCGTATTAAATTCTACTTGGTCAACAAAAAACCAAATTCTAGCTTAGTAAATATAATGGGATTAATTTTGTTCCAACTTTTTGGAAACTAAGAAAGTGAGAACTTGTTTACCTCCCAAGAAAGTTAAATAAACCCTAATGATTATGTTTAAGCTCAAACTAATTTTGATGCGCAGATTTTCCTTAAAACAAACAAAAAATCTAAGAGAGAAAAACGTTTTTCTACAAAATTGCTGAAAAGATTCATGGCAAAGGCAACAAAATAGAATAAAAAACCTAATGTCTGGAAATTAAAATGAAAGGAAAAACACATTAACGCCTTAACCACATCAAACATAATTTATATCCGTTTACGAAATCCCTTTAAAACGACCCAGAGCCAAACAAAACAAAGGGCTCAGATTCCATCCACTTAATGCGATTTGAGCTAAACAAACCGAATTGCTTTAATTCGAAAAAGGGACCAAGTATCCCTGGACTTGGGCCAGAGCTCAAAGGTGAAAGCGTCCCTTGAATTCATCAGTCGACCCTTTCTCAGTTACATTCATGAGACGCCTGAGCCATCTCATCTCAGTCATTAGTCAAAAGTTTCCATTGTTTTCCCCCCGACATGAATGACGTGTTTCTGAGTTCCTTTCGGTTGATCTCGGAGAAGGAGGAGCACTTACCATCAGGGATACGTAACCATGGATGCTGTTGTAGGCGCGCAGCCAATTGTAGATTTCACCTTGACAATAGCCCTGGCACTCGTCCACCTGGTTGGACATGTTCTTCTTTTGAAAGTCCTGCCAATACTTCAGGAACTTGTCGATATCAGTTTTGGTTATATGCAGGTCATTCAGCACCGTTTTGTTGAACGCCGCCATTTGGGGCTGCAAATGCGATTGGGTCATGTTGAGGCTGGTGTCCTGCATTGTCACAGCTTGATTAACCTTGTCGCTTTATTCACATCAAATAATCATAGACTGTAAAAAAAGAAGAGAAATATCAAGTTAATAAATTATAGAAAACAGTGTAAAAAATAGTAAGGTAATGTGTCTAGAGCTTTTCCCAGTTTCTCTGTACGCTAAAGGGGTATATTTTGAGGGGATAAGTCAGATGTCATATATAGGCAAATATATCTCACTGAATATCCTTATGGTAGTTTATTATAATAATAATATATATAATAATTAATATATTATAATCCATGACTTGTCAGTCATTTTCAATGCAACTTAAAGAAAACTTCCTTCCAATTACATTTTCAAATACAATTCTCATACCTTCTGCCTGTTAAACACACTATCCTTTATTATTATTTCTAACTATAACCATTTTTACCATAATTATTTTCTCTGCACATTTTAATTAATGATGCGTGTGCAATATCAGGTGCACTCATTGTATTTGGCTTAAATTAATGCCTATAAGCTTAGTGGTTAACTGAAATATATAATTGCCTTTGCCTAAGCACTGCGGTCACAAGGGACTTAATTAAGTCGACCACGTGATTAATTTGAGAACTATAGTTTTGGCAACCAGTTAGGATTGTGTGCATGTGACATGTTTGAGAACACACCGATTGTGTTGACCAATGTTGCGTTCATTTACGATGCAACATAATGGCAGATGAAAGCCACAAAAATAAACCAGATTTGACATCCGAAAATTTGTTGTCCACTGGCAAAGAGAAAAACAAACTATAGAGGTCGAATTGGGAGTGCAGCATAATTAACGATATATCTAATGCAATTTTGAGTGGCCAAAGTGGTGGAGCCTATGCACCACCTGTCCGTATGTCTACCTGTGATGCAGAGCAGCCTGGGCGTTGTTAGCAATTAATTGGCAGACACACTCAGTTGGAGGAAAATCCAAATACATGAAGAGAAAAATTGCAAAATACAAAATATATAACCATTGAAAATTATTGTACATAAAATATGAATATACATATTAGCATACGATCTTATATTGCAAGGGATATATCAAGATTTAGTATTAAAATTTGTTTAGTTGGTAGACATTATTCATCTGGGTTTTTCCGCTGTGAAAACTTATCTGTTGTTGTCCTACAATATGGCATATGACACTGCCTACCCAGATCACTCAGTTGGCCAAATCAATGTCGACATGTCCACACGTCGTCAAAGGTGTTGCATTTGGCTAATGGCCCCAACGTATCTGAATCACAATTTGAATCTGGATCTGAATTGGAATTTGAATCCTGTTCGCAATATGCAGTTTCGTAACCGCCACTGGCACCACATTACCTCCACGCCACATTGCATTGCCTCATCTGGTATGCATAATTGTGAAGTACCACAAACTCGGTTTGCCACAATTCCATATGGGAGGGGCAGGTGGGGATTCGACTCAACTCGACTCGACTCAATCGCCGTTCGTTGGCTGTCAGAGTATTTGATGTTGATCGATTGGCCTTTCGATTTTGTCAAATGCTTTTACATCTGTTGCTAGATATTCATAAGTTTTTTTTTCCTACAGTCGCACATTCAATCGCAATGAGATATGAGTTAGAGGAAAAAATTTTACTGCCCAAATGCATTTGGTAAGAGCAATAAGGACCCACACACTTTGGCTTAGGGTTTCAATATTGGAAGGATATTTTTAGGTTGCATGAGATTAAGCTTGATGAGTTTTGTAGACCTTAAAGATCTCTACAATCTTAAAGTTACTTTAACTAAAAATCACAGTAATAAATATCTGAAAGGAGTTGTAATCATCTGTTAAACTTTTAAAAGTATTTTGACAAGATGATGAAAAATCGACTCAAGTCTTTCAAAATGTGTAAAAATAAGCACGGAAGTATATTTAAATTTTGTAAAATAAAATATAAGTGTACTATACTAATATATTTATATTTTTACTAATATTTACATTTTCAATAAATATTTGGACTCTTTTTATTAACTTTAAAAGAAATTAGATAATTCTAAATCAATTTCCATTGCATTTAAGTTATTCAGTTAATGGTTATTCTATTTAAAACATTTTTCCTTTTGTAAACAGTTTTTGAACTAATCGATTCCAAAAATATAAAGAATATTATATTTTTTTATGACATATAGTGGAAAATAGTACAATCCTGTTGATAATTGTTCTACTTAATTATGTATCTCTTTATTCAAAAAGTAAACCCTTAAAAAGTTTTTAAAGCACTCACTTAGGTTAGAAAATGAATCTATTAAAGCAGTGTAACTCCACATTTGGTGCTTTCTTTCATTAATTTTTAATTACCACGTAGGGAAAAAAAGTCAAGGCTTTTATGCTTAGCCATTTCTTGGCGAACTCGCTGGGCTGTTGGCTCCTTGGCAATTATCTAGTTAGCTATTGCCGCCTTCAAGTTGCTTAAGTCTCATTCAATTCGCAGGCACGTGGCCTTGAGGAATATGTCTAAACAGGTGGCGCACCCACAGAGACATCCTTAGCAGCCCCACCCCCCACACACAGACACACATTTACGCATACAGTCGCAAAGGAAACAAAATGGCGCCATCAACTGACAGCTGCAGATAAACAGCAATGGCACTCTAGGCTCTTCCTTTGCTAGCTGCTGTTTCGCATTTTTTCTATTCGCTCTTCTTCCTCTTTTTAGCCATTCGCTATGCCGTTAATTAAGGTTCCGCTTGTCAAATATGCCTCCCAGTGTGTGTGTGTGTGTGTGTGTTTGAGTTTATTTCCTCATTTTTTATGACCGGAATACTGGGGAACTGTTATCGGATAGAACTCTGGCCATATAACTCCCGCTGGGCCAATTGGCTCAACGATTCTTAACAGCTTAGCTCCGAGGCATTTGTGGGCCATATCAAGAGCCTAATTATGAAGACCGTTAAAGGCGAGAACTACCACTTAAACGTTAAATGTTAATAGATCCCTATCACTATCCCTACTACCCTCAAAAAGTCAACCATTTTCAATTAGCCAAGGTAAACAAAGCGAAGTGTGTGTGTGTGTGTGTTTTGTCTGGTTTGTGTCAACCATTTGTTGCCGTCGCTGTGCGAAATGGCTTAAACAAATTGTTCAAATCATTTCAAGTCATAATGGAATTCATGCTCATACAAAATTTATTGAACCCATTTGTCTGAGTCTCCACGAGAGCTGGACAGCTGGCTGAAAAAGTTATTGAAATGGTTTTGCCTAGATTATAAACGAGATAAATAAGAGCAATGGTAGTTTGCATATATGCAAAAGCGAAAATGAAAACAAAAACGAATTATGCCAATGAAAACAAAAATAAATTGTTAAATTAAGTCAGGCATTGGAGGATAAGCCTTTTATTTATTCTACTTGAAATTGGTTTAGAGAGCACGTAAATGGGATTAGTGTTTTTTACAGGAAGTATTTTTGAAATTGTAATAAATTCGCACCAACAGCAAATGTAAATATTTATATAGATGTATTTTCATATTTTAAAGTATCTTAAATTTAAGTTAAAACCTATTTCTTTTCTCTTTAAAGCTTACAAAAATTCTCCAAAGCAAGAAGTGTCAGTCTGGCCAGCATATTGGCCTTAAAAATCATTTAGTTGCCAAAGAAATTATTATTGTTTATGGCCTGGACATTTAGTCGTTGAAGTTATTGAGAGCTGCACATAATTTATGGTGGCAATTGGCACTCAAAGTGAGCTCGAGTACTCGAAATATAATTTGCCGAATTAAAAAGAAACGCACGCATGGAACTGGCGTTCTGTCAGATACTCAGATACTCACACTCAGATACAACTCAGCTCGGCTTGGCTTGGCTTGTTTGTGCAATTTTGGCTTGATGTGGGCATACATACATATATTTTTTTCTCGATGCGTGTGTCTCTTGTGCTGACTTTTTGCCAGATTTTTACTTTATTTTTGGGCCTAAATAGTTTTTGCCTAATGAGTGCGTTTGACTTAGATTTTGAGTGAGTTTCTAACAATCCGCACAGCTGCCCGAAAATCGTATAAATAAAGTCGTTCTGGGTGCCAGCGATGTTAGTTGAATTAAAGCCAGCAAGCAAGGAGCTTCACGTTGTGTCCGAAGACCATAAATCATAAATAGACAAACAAAATGAAATTTACTGTAAGCAACAATAGCAATAACGTAAACAACAACTTTAAAAATGACAAAAACATGTCAAATATTTCAAATATTTCTGTTAACATTTTCTATTTGTCTTTGTTCGCTCATTAAACGCTAATTGAAAATTCCTGGACACGCTATAGTTAATCCTGCTCGTCGCCAGCGCTGCCTGCATCCTGGCCGCACCTGCTCCCGCCGCCGAGGAGCAGCAGCAGCAGCAGCAGGAGTCTTCCGTGAAGGCCAAGCGAGGACTCTCCCTGGGATTGGGATACCACGCCCCACTGCTGACACACTCGCATTACGTGTCCGCCCCAACGGTTGTGCACCACGCCCCCATAATATCGCATGCGCCGCTCATCTCGCATGCACCGCTCATTGCCCACGCCCCCCTGATCGCCCACCATCCGGTGTCCTCGGTGTCCTATCACCTGCCCACCTACCACTCCATACACCACTTTTAATCAGATCCGACGATGCGTGAGCAGCAACAGCAATAGCAGCGCACTGGAATCCTCAAATACTGCAACACCATTCCCAGAAATTCGTATTTGCATCGGTCCCTTCTTCCTGGAAATCCCCAACAACCAAACGCTTGTGTAAATATACGTAAATATGATATGAATATAAACATTTTTGCCTGGTTTAAAGGTCCTTTTTAATGTGGGGCAGATGTCTTCAAAGCTTTCAACTTTGTGTGGTTTTAAAAGTAAAAGTGGTTTTAAAGCTAAATAAAGCCACTCAGGAAACTTTAAATAAATCGTGGTAAAAACTAAGAAAAAATGTTTTTTTCTAGGTGACAATTTAAAAATAAATATAAAAAAGGTTCTAAACAAAAATTACAAAAAATTAAAACACTGCGGTAGGCTCCCACGTAAGGTGGGATGAAAAAATATAATATGCAGCAAATATTTCTTTAGGAAAATATAGTTCCCTAAATTCTAGGTCAAAACCCTAGCGCATTTAGTTATAATTATAATAGATAATATTATTATTTTTGGTAACGAGAATGAATGAAAAAAGAAACAATTTTTAAAGTTGAAGGTGCCATCGTCACATTTACCTTATCTCGCTAAGACAGGTTGTTCTTTGATATAAAATAAATATATAATAAAAAATAAATATAATATAAATAATAAATATATTTATAATATTTATGTTTAAAGTTTTTTGAATATAAAATGCAATCATCACTCTTGTTATACATCGAGGAAAGTATTTGTGTTAAACAAACATTATTCGCCACTAAAATGTATGTATATCACAAATCCCTTTTACCTTACCTCGTTAAGAGATGTGTTTGTCGGCTTTAAACAAAAATATAAACTTATACTCTTAATTGGCATCTAAATTTTTGCTCTCAAAAGCTAAAGTAATAATGAATGCAGTTTATAAGGCAAATTATAATGCTTCTCCCTGCATATATTCCCATTTTACTGCAAATCACCCACTTGACTGACTTTAGCTTGGTAAATATAATCCCTGCAGTTACACTCTTGTTGTTTCATTTTCCCACAGCAGCATTTTGAACGTCATTTGCCCTCCAAATTGTGGTCATGATGGTTGTGCAATGCAGCTTGTGGTCCTCTAATAAGCATTAAATGCTGCTATTTAAAATCACAAAGCTGGTTTAAATGGACATAATTTATGTTTATAAGGCTAAATTGGCTTACAGCATTTATGCTCTTTTAGAAGTATCATTTTCATGTCAAGTCTACTCCTTCCTTCTATGTAATTTGCCCTTCACATTTTCATTTACACAATTTATGGAGCAAATGCTATTACACTTTAAGAAAGACGCTTCCATGAACTATCAGATTATGGCCAACTTAGGAAAGCATCAAGTTCTTTGAGAAACACACTTGCTGCGTCTGACAGGAATATTAGTTAGTCACGACAGCAAACTTTAGTTGAATTTCTGCAAATCTAACTTTCCTTGATTAAGATTCCTTCACTTTGACTGTGCAACTGTTCGTGAGGCAAATATAATTCATATTCTAGCCTTAATCTATTATAATTACGGTTAACTTAATCAAATGAAGGTGTACACCATTTATCCATAAATCATAGTTTTTATTTGATTATCTTTACTTATCCGCTTAGATAGAAGTGTGTATTTAAACATCATTTTGTGTCCATCTATCTTACTTTGTATTTATTACAAATGTGATTTGTTTGCACTTATTTTTTACATCTAATGGGAAACGTAAAATCGTTGATTAAAACTCCATTTCGACATCCTAGTCCGAGAAGCTGTCGCTCCAGTAAGTGGTGGTTGGTGGGGCAACTGCCTTGAATAGATCTCGACCCTCTCCGTGGCGCCGCTTACCGTGGTTTCCATGGCCGTGGGAATGGCTGATGCGTGGCTCCATCTTGATCCGTGGCTCCTCCTTAATCCGCACCTCTTCCCTAGGCCGCTGGCAGCCGATGGCTTGGTGGCGCTGCAATCGCTGCGATGTTAGGAAGGTCCTCTGGCAACGCTTGCACTCGTAGATAAAGCCGTGCTCATCATGCTTCACGGCCATATGGCGTTTGAGTTCTGCCCGTAGTCGGAATACCTGGGAGCACAGTTCACAGCGGAACTGCGCACGCTCCTGTTCGTGCCGCTCCATGTGCGTCTTGTAGGCCCACTCCACTTTGAACTTCTTGCCGCAAATGGGGCAAGCATGCTCCGTTCGTTCATGAGTCTTGCGGTGCAGCACATAGGATTGCTTGCGGGAGAAGGTCAGATCGCAGTGTTCGCACTCAAATGGACCGACAGATGCTGCCGGCGTGGTTGGATACTTCTTCTTCGGAACACTGGGCGATTCGTCATCGTCGTCCTCATTACTCCTCTTCAATGGGGTCTTTCGCGGACGTCCCGGACGTCCTGGCTTCTTCTTCTCCTTCTTCTGCGAACTGGCATCGGAATCTACGGAATCACTATCCGCACTCGTTGATCCACCAACATCGGATACCTTAAACTCATCATCGAGCTCCTCCTCATCCTCACTGGAATCTGTTACTGGTGCATCAATGACCACGTAGCCGCGGGGTCGCCGCACCTTGTTCTTGCTGCGGGACAAGCGCTTGCGCAGATCCTGGTCCGTGGTCTCCAGTTGCTTCCGCAGCTGTATGGCAATAGTGAGGCTCTCCAGGCACTTAGTGCAGATGAATTGGGGCATAAAGTCCTTGGGCAGAATCGAGACACTGGGGCAGATGACCAGCAGCATGTCCGCGGGCGTGGCATCGATTTGCTTCTTGAACAGGTCGACTAGATCCTCCTTGCTAGTGCAGACGCGACACTGATTCTCGTCCACCACCTCCTCGATTTTGCGTTCGCGAGTTGGAGCTTCTGTGGCCTCGCCATCGACATGTTCACCGGGCTCATCGCCTGTAATTAGTTCGCCCTCTTCGTCGCTGGCCTCGGGCTCCAGAACTTCCTCTCCTTCCTCGGTGGGATCTTCAGTGCCATCTTCATCTTCCTCGTCGGCTTCTTCGCCGTCGGCATCTTCACCTTCATCTTCTGCCTCATCGGCAGCTCCTTCTTCACCTTCTTCTTCATCCTTGTCGGCTTCTAGGCCTTCGCCTTCTCCCTTTGAGGCTTCATCCTCGTCGTCTTCTTCGCCAGTGACTTTTTCTACGGCCTTTTTTGTAGGTTCTTCGGCGCCTTCTTCTCCGGCGACTTCTGGATCGTCTTTTTCCTCATCAGCTGTAGCACGTCCAGCTACCTTTTCGCCATCTTCGGCTGGGTTTAACTGGTCTTCGGCAGCTGCAGTGTGCTCGGAATCGTTATTGCTTGTTACCTGCGCGCCTGTCTTGGCTTGCTTCGTCTGCACTGGGCCGCCATCGGCTTCCTTCTCCTCCTCCGTCGGCATTTCTTCGTCCAGGTATTCCGCCTCTGCCCCTTCATTACCAGTTGTGGATGCCCTGGCTTCGGAATTCTGTAAAATAAAGTTTAAAGCCCGTAAAGTGTTTGAACTTCTTTCAGGTTTTCAAGCTAAACGCACCTCTAGGTAATCCATAATCCCTCCCACAGGTTCAGCGCCGCCATCCAGGGATTTGACGCTCTCCTGTTGCTGTGGCTCCGGGTTTCCCTGAGCGTTCTCCTGCGCTCCCTCGCGTAGCTCGGGACTAATCCCGGCGGTTCCATTAGTTTCTGCCACAGGCGTTATGTCTGCCTCCATTACGCTTGGGTTGTATTTTATTTATTTTCTTGTTATATTTTCAAAAAAGCAATCACTTTGCTTAAGTGGAAGGGGGAGTCTCTTTTTTTTTGGCGGGGCCACCGGCGTATTTTAACGTTTTTCTCTTTTCCGCACAGATTTTTAAACGCGCACTCGTTTTTCCAGTGTTTTCCTATCCGTTATAGTCTTGTTTTCGTTAATTTGATTTATTTGCTTAAAATGCGAGCACAAATTTCAATGCAAGATGCATTTTTTCCGATTTTTTTCCCGCAGCGTTACAATTTTTTACTTGCAGCCATATTGGATAAGTATACACAGCGGCCAGCTGTTTCGCCTATCGATACTCCTGCGCATGTGCGATAACAATCGATAGCGATGGCGATGATGCATGATTGGCGGGGAATTTGAAAAATAAGAATAATGCAATGCTGACTTACTTCTATAAATGTTTTTTTTTGAAGAAAATACTTAAAACTTGGCTAGTGTTTAAAACCTACTTTAAATATGCCCGAAAATCATAAAATAGCCGTACAACCATGAAGACCCCTCATAAAGTCCAGTATTTTTTTTGGCAAAAGACTTACCTACCTATGCGCGTGTTTGCAATAAAATTGGGCAAAAAACGAAAACACCCCCTGCACCCACTTTCTCATCTGCTTGAAACAAAAACCAAAACCGTGTCGTCTTGACTTTTCAACACGGCGGAAATAAAAATTACGTGATTTGCATAATTTTGCCACCCGCTGTTGTTGTGCGCATTAATTTGAGAAATGTAAGAACATTTTAACATCAACCATTCACACACTTTGTTTGTTACCTCTCGCTTTATTTTGCTTTTACTTTTGTGAGAGGAAACAGCAAATACAAGGCAGCACTTAGTCTGGCTTTTACATTTTCCAATTGCCAAAAGTCCCCAAATGCCATGGTAATACTCAAATGTAAATATTTCCATTAAAATCAATTCCCAGTATAAACGCAACTGCCACTTCGGTATTGTTTGTCTTCAAATAAGCAAACACATTTCAATAAAGTGCCACCTCACCACTTTTCCGTTCGACCAAAGCCCTGAGGATGACACGAGCTTGATATTTATTTCAATTATGCAGCGATGGAGCGACCAAGGAAAATGTCCGTGCTAATGCCAACGATTTTCCGGATGTCACTTGCCATGATTCAGAAACGCGACAACAGGTCAAAACAAATCACTTGAAGAAATAATGTCTATTATTGAAAAATTAATATGTGTTTTTAAATATCGAAGTTATATATTTATTTATGGGGAAATTGGAGTGATATATTGGTTCTACTTTTAACTATTACTCTCTTGCTTTTAGAACGAAAGCCTCTTCGAGGTTAAACGCTATGCAATGTACTAGCAAAACCAAACTACATAGTTTCTTTTTAGATAATCTTTTGAAAGAGCTTAAATTCTAATCGAAGATTACCTCTCTCTGCCTGTTACATATCCTTTTGTAACACATGAAATCTGTTTATTTGCAGAAATAAATTTCCATAAAAAATTATGTTTCTTTCCGCTAAAATATTCCTTTAGTTCTACATTTTTTAAAGTGTTCCGTCTATGTTTAAATAGACGTATTTTTTCGCTTTCTGTAAGCATTTTCTTTTCTGTTGCTCTTCAGCATGATTTACGCCAACAATTATCGCAGCAAGACGTGCTCGGGCACCCACTTGACATTAACATCGTTTTCCCCGACTTGGGTTTATATCTCTCGCTCTTATCCTGCGTCCTGTTTAACGTGTCTCGGACCGGGATCGCTTATGACGCCAGAGATTGTGCACCAGCGGGAGGAGGCGAAGTGAAAAGATAAATATAGCGGGCCTGTCGTCTGTGGCAATGATAAAAAAGCTCGGCCATGTCAACTGACACACACGATTCAACTCCCGGCGGCGTCACACAGTGATTAATTATGCATGAACGCCGCATCCGAAAGACAAACAGGCAGCATATGCTTTGCTCCTTGCTGAAGGCTTAAGCCTCCTTTCGCCAGGACACTGTGAATGTCTAGCAGAGATGGGCTGGAATACCTCCTAGGTACACGTACCTAGTCCTTAAAGTACATTTTTACCTAGTGAGAACTACAACAAATATATTAAATAATTGTAGATTTTAAAAGTAGGTAGTTTTTACGTTTTAATGATTAAAATATTTTGCAATTAAATTAATTGAAAAACCTTAAAACATTTTATTTATTGGGAACTTACCTTTAAGTATGAAATTTTTCGGTATATTATATAATTATTTACGAAAGTATTTATTGATTTCCCGAAGCATATAAATTTCATACGTTTGCACAAAATTCAAATAAAAAAGAAACACAAATATCCGTGGCATCAATTATATTAAAGAGCTATTACAAAAAAAAAAGACGAATTTTTAAGGATTATTGACACTTGTCAATTGTGGATTTAAATGATAATACACCAGGTACGCCAGAAAGTAAATACCTATTTATGTGCTCTGCTGCACTATCAGAAATTATTTATTAAAATTAAAAACGTTGAACATGCAATACGTGACATTTGATGGATGTGTTCAGCAGTTAAATACGAATGCATAATTGATTTTTGCCAAAAAAAAAGAAGTTGATTCGTTTACTTTATAGTAAGTGGGATTATGTGTTCAAAACGAGTTGCACTTTGTAAATCCTTAGCAAAATCACATATATGTATGTTTCTGGGACATAACCATAAACGCACCATTTAAAAGTTGCCTCTGGCGTTGTCCTTCCTTGGCTCTTACGCCTTTCGCATTTCCCCCAGATAATTTTTCCCTAAATAATTGAATGAGTTTGTCGAGAATCCTCACTGCAGCTTAAGCTTTTCGAATTTTCCGAAACTGAAAACTTGCTGCTGCTGCTGTCTTTGATGTAAGTTGAGCTTGTGATGCAATCGAAATGACAAGAAAATTGAATACCCTTGTCTATTACCAGTGAGTCTTAAGCTTAACTAACCTTAATTTTCTTGAGATTGGCCCATATAATTTATTATATTTTAGCTACTCTTAATTTTGGTGTATTTGTTAAAAAGGTTTAATTGATTAATACCTTAGATACTTAAGCAAAGTTACCATAATCTTAAAGTTTTCTTAATTATAATTTTTCCTTGATTATAAACCACATTAATTATCCTCAAGATATAAAACTAAATAAATTGATTTTCCACCAAAAATTTAGAGTATAATCTCTTCGACTTTCTCAAAAATAAACCGTCTTTTTTTGTTTATTTTCCAAACAAGTCACAAACCGAAATGAAAAGGTTTGCCTTGTTGCCAGGCTTCGGATAACCAAAAAGTTCAGACAAATACTGACATCTCTGTAGCCGGAATTAAAGTGATTTTATTTGCAAATTTACGCACGTGTTGGGCCTGACAACTTTAAAGATTTCAAGACAGGCCAAGTCCTTAAGTCGCAAGGATAAAATTGTGTATAGCCAGAAAGCGTGCTATGATTTTTACAAGCTAAACGCCAGGTATTTCTTTGAGTTACGCTTTTCTAGTTATTTTGCTTAAGGATTTCGTGAAATTCATGAATTATTTCCAAGTTGCTAAATGCAAATTACGTGTACTCTGACCGTCTTGAGTTTGAGAAAAGTTTGGAAGTCGGTATAAGTCCGGAAACTTTTACGTGGCCGCAACGCATAATGGTTACCAGAAAATTAACTTTCGAATAATACGATTTTCACCTGCCAGCTGAGACGGAGATCCATCAATACAGCACGCTTCTGACACGCTAATAAATCTAATTTACAGCAGAATATCGGCACGTGTATTTAATATGTTTTCATGCCACAAAAATGTTTGAAAAATTCGATTACTGCAAAGACAATTTTGTTACATAATCTATTGAAATTCAGGTTTCACCAAAAACTAGAAAAAATTACTTTAAGAAAGTGCATCGTCTGGTAATATAAATGTCTTAACATTCCCAACGATTAATCAACATCAAAGCGGTGAAATATATATACATAATTAAATAGAACACATTTTTCTGGCAGCTCCGACCTCACGACGTATTAATTACGCTGTACTAAATCGCTTAATTACTTACGCATCATCATTAATCTTGGGACAGACAATTTTTGACTGTGTATATATGAAGTTTAAGCATACAACGCCCTAGGATACATCGTACATCCTTTTTAACTAAAAGTTGCGAAAATGTTGATGAAATCAGAAGCTTACACTGCATGCTAATTGCTAGGGTAATTAATAGGGCATTAATCAACTTTTAAAGCTGCCATAAATGACAAAATCTTGTCTTGAAATTATATTTTAGATTTAATAAATATAAATACTCCTTTCATAAGCTTCTTTCTCACATTACGCATACGCAGCGTGTTATCTGCCTTGGGGCTGTTTTGCTTGTGAAAAATAAATAAAAGGGAAAATATTAAAGAGCGCAGAGGCATCGTTGGGTTTAGTCATATCCCACAAGAGAGTAAGCAACAAAACAAAAGAAATACAAATACTAATTTATTAGCGTATAATTTAAAAAGGCCCATGGGGTTTTGTTCTTAGCTGTTACTTAGCTATTTTCACTCGCTTGTTTTGGTTCTTTCTCGGGCTTTAAATACACCCAAAGCTAATATATATCCATATGTGTGTCTGATTTGCACACGACCCAAATTAGGCGAGATAAAAATGTATGCAAATAAATTGGGTGCCGACCATAGAAGTACTCAGTCCGTGCAAATAGTTGCATACTTTTTGGGAGGGTTAGTATTTTTCACAAGGAAGGTAAAATAATACAAAAGTTTAATTTGTTGTACTTCAATTAGTAACATATACAATACCTTACAGGTATGAATTCTCTTGTTAAACAGAAAAAACTAACGATTTCAATTCAATTTGAACTTTGCTCAAAAGTCTGAAATGAAATATAGCACATATCAATTGTTGTGTGTATTTATGATGTAATATACTAGAGCATAGTTTTGCAAAAAATAAAAGTTCAATAGTGAAAAGCAAATGTTGTAACATATTTCGCAACTCCACATCAAATCTGGTTGTGAATTTCCTGCAATTTCCCTGCATTGTGTTCCCATCTAATATATTACATTTGTTTCCTATGTTCATTAAATTCTATTTTTTTTTTAATAATATTTACAGAATTACATACGCCAATGTACTCCGCGTACCCTATGCATGGATGCACCAAAACAAAATAATATGAATAGTCCCTAAGCAGGGGACCTCTGTATTGGTATTATTATTATTAATATGAACTCGCACTCGTTCGCCCCCATAGATCACAATTATTTGCCGGTCTGACAGGCCAATAAACGTTGCGATAAGAGGCTTTACGGGTGCCTCATTAGCCACCCATTCCATGGCATCTGTGGCACAAATAGGTATTTCCGTATTTTCAACAAACAATTGCCATGTGTCGGACGGAGTTACATTTTGCCTTCAGCTAGTCACGCACTTAGCTGAATATATACTCCTGTATAGCAAAGGTCTTTGATAAGATTGTCAGTGCGGCACGTGTCTGCATTGGCATTACATGTCTTAGACTGATTACGAAACATGGCCACAACAAACGCTGCGACGCCTCCTCCTAATTCCAATCAATTTTATTTTAGCAGACGCCTCTCAGGCTCGACGGGGTCCTAAGAATTCCGATTTAATTTTGCAACCAATTTTATAGGTCTTTTATTTTTGTTTTTTTTAATTTGCCGCCATGCCAGAAAAGAAATTCCCAAGTTGACGTAATTTATGAAAGGAATGAAATACCACAAAATTTTACTTTCTTTTGGAGCGGCAAATTAAGCGAACAGGTTTGTTTATAAATCAGCATCAAACAGCAAAAGCATCGGCAAATGGCGACAAATATGTTAACCCAGCCAAATATTCTTTCATCTGGCCGACATTTTTTTATTTTTGGATTTGGGAAATGCCCAAACCGTCTACAGAACGACATAAAAAAAACAAAGATCACAGAACAAAACAAAATATAAACAGAGATTTTTTCAAACACATTCGTACAATGAACTGTCATATGCAAAACAAATAAAAACAAACACAACAAATTGTGATTTAATAAACTGAGATTCATTCTCTCAAATGTTGTGGTACCCAGTTTAAAGTTTTTTCGAAAATGTAATAAGTAAGTAATGTTAATAAGATAATAATTAATAATTACACAAATTGTGTTACTCAGTTTAACGGGTGAATTAAATAAAGATATTAATTGGAATTTTAAAAGAATATTTGAACGTTACTTTATATAAATCAATGAGCAAATTTTAAGGAATATTCCAAAAATATATATGTACGTATGCAATTAAACTTTAGCACAAACTGTTTTACCCAGCTTATTTTCATGGAATGATACAAGAAAAGTAAAATTCTGAAGGTATTTTTAAAAATATTTCAATAAGAACTTCAATGAACTTAAAATATATCTAATAAAATAAGAAATTAAATAGTCAAATAATCTCCTTTACACTTTATAAAGCTCAATTACAAAATAAGTCACACACTAAAAATGAACAAAACTTAATAAATAGCCCAAATGTTCCAACTATTTAATACAGGTAATCTTTTATATTTAATTTGTTAAATAACAAATCAGTTCGTTATAATCAAATAAAATCTTTAAATATATTAACCATAAATAACAGAATATTACTTCGCTGTCTGTTTGATTTTTTTCCGCATTCAGCATTTCTTTAGCCCAAAATGTAGACCCAATGACCAACCTCTGTTTCAAATTATGAATAATCAAAAAGAGTATACATTTGCATCTACTTTTTCCCCAAATTATTCTACATTGTTCTGCTTTCCTTTCGATATGATTTTCGGGTTTAGAATTCCCAAAGCGAATCGTTTGTTCTTTTGCGAAACTTGTTTAGACCGCTTCGAGTGCGGACATTCCGCGGATTAAATATCGCATAGACACAGATGCTGCCGCCGACAGAGGAATCTGTCGACCAAAAAACCAAAACAAGAAATCCAATTTCTAAACAGCTGCTCCGGAACAAGAAGCTGCTCATCCCGCCGGCTTGACTCTCTTTTTATCTCGACGATGCTGATGATGGGCCATTCCATACATCCCGGCCTCGGGGAGGTATAAATAGCTGCGGTCCCGGCTGAATCAATTAGACTCCAAAACCAACCGCAAAGCGCAAAATAGCAAAGCGAAACCTCAAGCCAAAGCCAGAATATGTCGAAATTCTTTGCCGCCGCCTTCGCCTTTGTGGCCCTCGTCCTGATCCTTGTCAGTGCCGCCCCCGCGCCGCCTCAGCTCCTGGACGCCCAGACCGCCATTCAAAAGATAATCGGTGAGTTTGTGACCCCAGAAACATATATAGTTCCTGGTGGCAACTGTGAACTGTCAACTGCCAACTGATTGTGGGGAAATGTCCCTTCTCGTCCTTTCCACAGATGCCTACAATCGGATTCCAGGACCCTCCGTTGTCCACCCTTGGGAGGTGGCCCGTGTGATCGACCCAAACACCTTTGTGGCCCACTTTTAGACTTAAAACAAGCCCCCACAAGCTACCTGACTACCTTAAAGAAAATGCCTAAATAAATTGAAAACAAAAATCTTAGTTAAATCAAAGCAAATGTCTTTAATTAACACACATAAACTCCATCACTAATTATAGTTATAGATATTTTGGAGCGGAATCACATGATACCTCAAAACCAATTGCCAAGGTAACTTCTAATTAGTTCATGAGCATGCAACCATAGTTAAAGGTTAGAATTAAACACATTTAAAATATATTTTAAGGGTTCTGATGACATGAAAATAAAGATTATAAACCACACTAAAGTACGGTCAGAATAAAGCAATTTTAAAATGTATTCATTAGTATAAAAACTGTACACCAAAATGCTAATTAAATATAAAAATAATCTCAATATAAACACAAAATGCAGACTCTAAGTAAATACTTTATACATTTTTGGAGACTATAATATTTTCGGAAATTATTTTGAATGACTAAACAATCAAAAATAATTCGATAAGGAAAAGGTGTTGACAAAATGAAAATTAAATGAAATCACATTTAAAATATAAATTTCTTAGCTTAAAAAGGTATTTGTTAAGTTGCTTATACACATGAGTCAGTTGCGAAATAAACATAACAATATTAATCTCAATGTAAACACAAAATGCAGTTTGGAAATCTATACTTTACACATTTTAGCAAATTAATACATTTTATATACAAATTTATTTAATGACTAAACAAACAGGATTTTCATATTTATATTCAACTAAATAATAACTATTTTAGGTCGCTTATAATTATTAAATATAGATTTTGTAATAATAATCCAAAAATAAACACAAATTGCTGGCTCAAAAGTCAGTATTTTGACAACATTTTTGGTACTTATTTGTTAAATAAATAAAGAGATAATTATGGAAAGCTGCAATTCAACAAAAATATTATGATTGAAAACTAGTATCTACGCTGCATCAGAGCATTTAAAAACATATTAAAAATTCATTAAAATTCAGCAAAATTCAGCTTCAAAGTAATTAATTTGACCTGTAATTATTTTTCAGACATAGTAAGAGATTCATTTGAATGGCTTTAGGGACCACCAAAAATTTCTAAAGAATAAACAAAGAGAAAATATAATAATGCTCCTATTTTTTTCCACATTATTTGCCCATTTTATTATTCCCAGCACATATTTATAGTATAGTTAAGACCAAAGGCTTTAGTTTACTATATTTAAAACAAAAAATCCAATAAGCTCTTCACCGTAAATATTTACCAATAAATTCAACTAAATATTTGTTGGAAAGTGAGGAACATATTTATGAAAAAATCCGTTGCTATTTGACATTTGAAACATTACCGAGTTTCTGTGGACGAAAGAGGATTTCCTCGTTTTGTGAAGTTGACAAAAGTTTGACAAATTCCGGCAACAGATGCAAATCTCAACTAGAGTTTCGTAACTACAATCGCAGTTGACTTAAAGTTCCTCTTGGCTTTATTACTTATTTATAATACAGTGATGGGTAAAGTTCTCTGGCCATTCTGCTCAATTTTCCACCAAGGACAATTTGATAGTGAGTGGATATGGCAAAGTTATCGTCTCCGCCCGAATCTCATCGGCGAATCTAAAGTGCTTGCTAAGCTCTAGAGTCTAGGAACAGGCAGCGCCTTGTTTGAGGACTTGAAGGATGCAATCCTTCGTCCCGATTACGATGCGAGGTTAAAGTCAATGTCAATGCCAGAGTTAAGGCCCCTGGCGGATATCACATAGTGTATGTATATATCTGTTTATATATACAATAAATGCATTCTAGATAAGTGCACTGGGGATATGCAAATTGTGCCCGCACAAAACACTTCAAAGGCAACCAACTGAAATAAATTGCGAAGCCTCGGCCATAAAACACTATACAGTGTATATCATTTGATACCTATACCTATACCTTTGCCCTCCCTTATTTTTATGATCCGCACACATGCGGCACAAGCTACTGAAACATTTATGGAAACCTGCTGAATATTCAAGGACTCTCATGAACTTTGACCCCGGGGAGGGGTGTTTAGCAACTTTTCTTAAATTCGTTGCACGTGCCAGAATATGACAGACACTTACACGGTATAGTAGTAATTTTTGATTTTCTTAAATTTTTAAAGGTTATAATTATTAAATTATAAAGTTATTTTCTACACTTCTAGCTGTACATTCAGTAAACTCTTTCATTATTTAATTATTTTGATAACAGTCTAGAGGTATGTTGGTGTTTTGTCCCAGAATAGTAATTATTTATTTAAATAAATAAAAAAGATTTATTTGGTTTTATTTTGTATATCCTTACAGTCAGAAGCCCTTAACGCTGTGAAGGAGTCATTTCCGACCCTATAAATCATATATATTCTTGATCGGCATTAACAGCCGAATCAATCTAGCTATCTCCGGGAGGGAAAAATGATTTTAGAAATTTTTTCGATTTTTTTTTCAAAAAAAAGGTAAGTAAGTTACATCTTGAAAATTGTCAAAAATTTAATTATTTTTAATTTTAAATTAAGTATGCAGATTTGTTAAACTAATAAAAACTAACATGGAACAGCTTTCCGAATTAAAATTAATGTTTTTTTGGCTTAGTTATGAAATAATAATAATAATAAATAATATGAAATAATTATGAAAATATAAACAATTTCTATCCAGAAATGGTATTATTATTTTAGTCAGAAGCTTGCAAAGCAGTGAAGGAGTCATTTCCGACCCTATAAACCATATATATTCTTGATCAGCATCAAAATCCGAATCAATCTAGCTAAATTATAAAGAAAAACAATTTTTTCGATTTAAAAAAAATAATAAGGGGTTACATCTTTAAACTTGTTAAAAAATTTGTAAAAATTTTAATTTTCTTTAATTTAATAGAACAAAAACTAACACAGGAAAGCTTTCCAAATCAAAATTAACGCATTTTTGTCTTAGTTGTAAGACTTTGATTTGTCGAAAAAAATGGCAATAAAAAGATCGATTCGAATCCCAATTTTAATTTCTTTTAATTGAATTGCAATTTCAAAGGGTTTATAAACTTTAGCTCCCAGAAGTTAATTTTCTTTCTTGTCATATATTAAATAATACATACATTTTGTATATAAAGAAACTAAACTAATATAAACTCTGCTTCTGCATTCTACATATTGAAATACATTCCACCGCCTGTGAGTCATTTTTATCACTGAACGTTTGCTATCTTCATTCATAATCCTTAAAGCAAATATTACTCTGTTGGAATTAAATGAAAATAAAAAAGTAGACCGCAGGTTTATATACATAAATTGGAAGCACTTCAGATATCGCATTTCTATGGTTTTGAAAATCCAACTATTTGTGTTAAAATAACATTCCCATCCTTGGTGATGCTGTTAAAACTTCTGCGGCATCGTCGCCCCAGTGACAACATCGGGCCATAATGTCAGTCCAATGGCCAACCAGCCACACAAGTAAATGGCTTCCAAATTGGTCCATAGTTAGCAGTTCCGCTTTTGCCAATTGCCAACTTTACTGTGTCAGACTCTGGCAATTAATTAGTTTGCTAGCCTTGTGGTCCGCCGCCACTGCCAAGTTTATGTCCGTCCTGCCAATACTATTTTACGAGCACTTTTACGACCCGCTTAGAGCTTAGACTCTGGGCCAGCTGTTTTGTTTGGGCCAAAACAAAAATCTAAAGCGATCAGGAATTCCCCGTGGAATGCAGAAAAAACCGGCAGAACTCAACGATTGAGCCCACAGAGAAAGATTTCTAGCATACGCCACTCGTATAAATTTGTTAACCGCTTTCGAACTACATCGATTTGGATCGATTTGCATTGCAAATTCCGCCATCCACCAGCCGCCACCCGCTCCCCCTGGCACCATTCCTATTCCCATTATAAAATAAACCATTATAAATAGACCGTGACTTACCTGCCATCATCATCATCACAATCATCATCATTATCATTCTCGTCGTCCGAATTCCAAGTCACTCCTTATCGCGCCAACCATCAACTGAGGAGCTTTAATTATGCAAATAACTGGCGCCACAAGAACGTGCTAAAAAAAAAATAGGGGAGAAGACAGTGAGACAAACAAATGTATTAAAATTGGTTGAAATCTGATAAATATCAGTTTCAGTCGACAAGTTAATAAAAGCAAGTGATAGCCATTTCACTCGAGGCTAAAGCGACTATGAAATACCTAGTAGTTAATAAAACTATAGTTTTATTTCAAATTTCAATCAGCAAAATATTCATTAATAATCTCCCTCAATTACCGATATAATTATAATAATTTTATGATAGACTGAAAAGGCAGTAAATTAGCTTTTTGTTAAATTTATGGTTCGCCTGTATAAGTACTTATCAATTTAAAAACAATAAATGATCTGAACTCTAGGTTAAAAAAAGGAAGAAAATTTCATTATTAAAATCTACAAAATATATAAGCTATATAAACAAATGTAATAATCACTATATTCAATAATTTATTTAAATTTCTTCGATAACAAAGTCTTCCATTAAGTTCTCAACCATCTTAAAGGGGTAACTAAATAGTCCTTTCCCCTTTCTCTAAATTGAACTGTAATAAACTCGGCTCAGCACTTAACAATGAACATTTGTGTAAAAAAACAATATGCCATTAGGTTTGTGGACGTACACGTGTTTATATTTAAATTGAAACCATATGCTAGGCTATCCATTACCATCAGCCCTTTCCCACAGGCAGAAACCCATTCATCAGTCAATGACTTTGATTGTTTTTGGAACAGGTTTCTTTGCCTATATCCACAAAAAACACATTAATTTGATTTGTGATTTCGAGTGCATTTGATTATATTATAGATTAAAATGTAGCATTAAAAATTGCATTTATTGTTTAATATAGCACAATACAATAGTTTACTTTCTACTTGTTAATTTTCATTTGTTTGTTTGAGATACAATGATATCAGCCAACCAAAAAAATAGTTGATATACCTTTCATATACGTTTTTATGTGTTTGTGTTGAACCAATTAGCAAAAAGCTGAATTGAAAAGGATGAAAGGATGCCCCAAAATGTATGCTACAATGCTGATTTACAATATTATTAAAAAATGCTGTGAAATTTAATCGAACATGTACATTAAATGAATATTAATTGAGTTTATCACATTTAAGCCGCTTTTGTCTTTTTCGGCAAAGAGTTTATTCAATGCAAGTAATAAATGTGAATAGTTATTATATGACAGTAATTCTTTTTATATGTATGTGTAACCACGCTTTGATTAAGTTATACAAATCCTTTCATTGTTATTTATTTATAGCTAATTATTCCCTTATACTTTATAAATCAAATTATGCAAACAACACCCTTCTCATGGGCATTATCCATTGAAGTTAGCGTGAAAGCCTAAGTATAATATGCAATTTGTCAGGTAAAAGCCTTTGGCAGATTAACAGGTGATACGCACACTTATATGTACACGGAGCAGAGCCCAAAAATATTCCCCCAACTCTCGTTTTCATTCAGCATAATGGAAAAGTTGCGAAAATCCGGCGGAAAACTCCTGAGGTAAGCAATATACCAGAGTGCCTGGCATGTGCGTTTATTGATGGCCATAATATGGCCCAAAGGAAAGGGAAGTGTTCTCAAAAAAAAAAAAAAAAAAGCAAAGAGATGCGTGAGCTGCGGACACGCGACATTAACCCCGATGATGGGTGACAGTTTTTCCGGCACTTGAAGACTACGCCGACTCAAGATTTCCCCGAAATCGATGTGCTGGCCTGGGCTTAACCATCAAAATTGATGGCTCACGGAGCCCAGTAACTTATAACCATAAACGAAACTGATGCCGGGGACTCGACAATGAGACCTTTGTTCCACAACAGTCCCAGCCAGGACTATAAAGGACCGGCTAATAAAGGAAAAATCAAATAACAATCATCACAATTACATTGACGACATGTTCTCGACACAGAACAAGCAACCCAAAAGCCCAACTGAACTTGCCTGAACCCGTCGGTCCGAGAATATATATTAGCATAATCCAAGGACACTCTCAATTCACAACTGGCGCCGGGGTTAAGAAACTGTAAGTGAATTTTTATTAAATTCCATATGCATTATTTCTGCTGAATATTAGATTCTCATGGGGTCCCAAGTTGGATGACTTGCCGGCCAGATTTGTTAATGCCCGAATACATTTTAAATCAACAACTTGTGACCCACAGTTGCAGCCTAAATGAATGCGAGTAACTTTGCATTATTTGCTGACTGTAAAATTCCCTTTTTGTTGATTTATTGCTATTGCTCTTACTACTGTCCAAATAAAGCTGAATGTATAATTTCATATTTTACAGACTGACCAACTTTTTAGGCAGAATACATTAAATTGATATATTTTAAAGCTTTTGATTCATAAACTAAATTTTCTTGGAATATTTATTACCAAAGGGTTTACATTTTGGAATACTATGAAATGAGTGTTTAATCTTGCTAAAAACTTCAATATTTAACAGTAGGTTTTATGTTCCGAGGCCTGGCTTTAATTTAAAGCCGTCGTTTTTATTGTGATGATTTTTTATTACGTTTTCCATTTGTATTTGCCGTATTTCGCCTTTATTTCGGCTATAACACGAAATGTGCAATCATAAATCAAAGGATCCCCACCTTTTATGAGAAAATGACTAAAACAGCGGACGCCGACATCCTGGCGACACCTGTCATAGAGCGTGTTCGTCCCTGTTGGACACCAATTAATCATCCGTATATCTATATAAACTGCATATGTCTCTCAAAAAGTGCGTCACCGGGTTTAGGGGGAAATATTTTCCGCTAGGAGCGTCCATTTACTTTTCGCTTCACATAATCTATGTGACAGCAATCAGGAAGAGAGCTTTCCAGTTCAGTCCATCGGAAGATAGAATTACTTGCGCACTCCCTGATCCTGGAAATATCAAAAGATACATATTGGACAGGAGTATTCTGTCGAAACAATACGCATTTGTTATACAACGAATTCCCGGAAAAGTTACGTAAATAAATCAGCAACGCACATAACTCGCTCGAAACCCATAGGAATTGACCTTTTTTGGTTTGGCTTTTTGCAACTGACAGGCAAAGTATGATTGGCCACAATTCAGATTTATGTAAACGCTTCCAGGTGCCTTATTACTCTTGGCTGAATTCCTTTCAGGAATTTCTGGCCTCAACTTTGTGTATTAATTTCCCCAGTTTTCTGGGAAAACAGAAGAAAAACCTGCTATACTTAAAGCAAATGGCTCTTAACGCTGCACTGCATTTCCTGCTTAAAGTTTATTGTGCCAGGATAACGCACTTAAGCCAGGTAATTGGAACTTCAGGAACTTGGAATTTCAGATCTAACTATTTGCTTTTCTGCTTAAAGAGTTTGTTTAAATTTCCTAAGCATTACTTGTGTAATATTTTAAAGAAACCTAAGGTTGAGCTTTCTTTTCCACTTATATTTCAAAGGACGTCACAATTTATTTGAAGCCATAATCGATTCGATGCTTTGTAATCCGTCAGTCGGGCAAAACAACAATGGCCTGGATTATGTAAAGTCATGATCAGGTTAAAGGTATTTTCCAAAGAGACGCAATAAATTCATAGCCAGGCGGTTATAAAAGGCCAACTCGATGGATTAACTACTGCGTGTCAGTCAAAAGCCCAATGGAAACAAAATGGGGTGCGAGTTGGCCCTATTTCCCCTTTTGTGTTTCGCATGGTCTTTGCCAATTCATCCAGCTGCCAGCTGTTATTACGCCTTAATTTATGGAAATTAAGAACGTTGGTTGGATAATAAGACCACGGATGGTTGAATTTGTCAATGGACTACGTCTTTTGTCTCTACAGCACTTTGCAGGGCGGAGGGAAAATGCAGCGTGTCAAGTGAATTTAGCTCATTAGATTTTGGAGCCTTATGGGGGGGAATCCCCATCCCCCCAGAGTTGAACTTTACCGGCTTCTTGTTACCCTTGCCAGCATGCAAACGCAAGGAATTAAGTATCAATTAGAGATGCACAACGTAATTGAGTGCGACAATTTATCTGCTGGAAGAGTTTTCAGTTGCAGATTGTGTGCGCAGGATAATACCAGGACAACAGTTAAACAAACTGTCACAGCGAGACACAAACTTTGGTAATTATCATCAAATTTAAAAAGAAAAAGGTAAATTCCCTTTTACGGGGCTTAGTCAGAAATGGTATTAAATAATAATGCCCAGTGGGATGGCCCGAAAAGTGTATATATCGATGGTGTATCGATATTAAATGCGACAGACGATAATTGAATTGAAATACATTGCACAAAAAATCGATATAATATTAGATATGATGGAAAGATACATATGCTAAAAATGAATATTATAGATAATATCGAAACTTGAATATCTTTTCAGACTTTTCCTTTCCTCGGCCGACATTTTCCCATATTTACTGGCATTTGAACTTTGTGATAAAAATATATTTTACACACTTTAAAACTATTACTTGTATATAATATATGTCTTCATATATTAAAGTTTTTTAAACATTACTTCTACATAATAATAATTTCAACTCAATTTGTAACAGTGTCTGCCTTTTTTCACTAATTTCCAGTTCGTTCCCATCTTGGAACTTGAGTAAAATCCCGTGAACCCATCACCTACATTTCCCGCTCCCATGGAAAAATTATGCAAACGATGCAGATTGTTAGGAGGAAAGGTCTGGCCTTTTAAGAGTTGCAAACTTTTCTGTACACAATCCGCGGAAAGTCTCTATCATTATCCCCAGCCATTCAGCACTTTGAGATGTTAATTTTATTTCATTTCATCATCTTCAAGGGTTCACTTCGTGCGCATTTTTCTGAGGCTTTGTGCTGCTGGCTCTTTATTTTTTTTCGAAAGCTCCACAATAAATAGGAATAGTTTTTGCAAGAATTTCGTTCAGCCACAATCCTGCGGCTATAATGTATAATCCTGGTGCCTTCCAACTCATCCTCTTAATGTGGGTTACCTTACCGCTATTTATGTAAACATTTTGTTAATGCAATGGAAATGAGAAGAAAATTAAA